CTACTTTATTATTAACGATATGCTACTCTGTGTTGTTCATCAGATAAATTCCCAATAAAATAGTTTGTGGTTGTAATGTGAGAAAGTTTAAGCGTTATAAATACTCAAATCTATATCTTCAACCCTTTACTCAGACTTTACTTGCCACATGTTGTAAATCAAGCAGTTAAAAAATGTAGATCATCAGATGAGCTACTGGACGAGTTAATGCTTCAAAAAAATCTGACAAAAGTGAAAGTTTAAATCAAACCCAGAGCTAAAATTGAACCCTGCAGCTTTTTCTAATGATCAGATTGATTTTTTTTAAGCATCTGAATGTGAGGATGACTCAGTTTTAAAACTACATCCAAACACCTTCATGCACACAGTCACCCACACCCTAACCTACAGTCACATCAATTTCAGGGTAAATAAAGTTGGTGTGATGGGAAACCCTGTGTCTTATGCAACTACGGGCAGCAGAGGCACAAGGAACAGAATACACATTAAGGGTCTTTACCTAGAGAATACCCTCTTGATATTATCCCACACGCTAGCCACTGTGCTAGTTACTTTATAGGAGAAACTAGGATGATAGGGAGAAAAGGACAGAACAACGAGTCAGAGACAGCACTGAAAAAACAAACCATATCATGGGAACAAAAACTGAATTTATCCACCGAGTGACGATGTGGATTATACAAAATAACAAAAAAAGAAAGACAGGGCTTTGTCTGGAAGTGTGTGAGTGTGTGTGTGTGTGTGTGTGTGTAGGTGTGTGTGGACTCTCACGTGTCCTTGCGCATCCTCAAGTGCTCAAAACCGAGCAGGCCTCGCGAGTTCAGGGACATCAGGACTTCGCGTCCCTCCACAATGTCAAGCCTGAAGGGCCGGGCGCTGACGATGACCCGCTGGGACTGCGCTCCCAGAGACAGCACCACCCCGTTTTCATCCTGGGACAGGAGAGACAGACTGGGACGGAGGGAAAACTTCAATTAGGAGACATAGTGGAAATAAACTTTCGACTCTCAGATTAAAAATGCAGGAGAGAAATATCACAAGATACTCACGGTTCGGTCGGCGGCTCCCTGATGAGCACGTCTGGGACTTCATAGCGAGGCTTCAGAGGCTTCAGCTCATTAATCTTCACCCTAGTTATGTTTCCCTGGAGACGGTAGAGCTCGAGCAGAAGACGCACCTGAAAGCAGAGATCAGCAGATTTCTCTTCAACACCGCAGCAACATCGCTGATTGGACTGAGCCAGAAACACAAGGAACTCACAATCTGCAATTTCAACTTTTGCCATGGGAAGCATTTCATGCAGTCTGTCTGCATGGAGGACAAACTGCTGCTCTGATGATAGCAGGTCACACTTAATACAGCTGAAAGGTCATTCTTAATGTTTCTGTGGAGGAATGTTGCCTTGAGGCAGATCTGACCTACACAATGATGTGCTTTTAATCTGCTAATTTGTGTTTATAATATCCAGAGTTTTGCCCATTCATATCGTCTCATCTATTCTTCCTGTTACTTTTAAACGTCCGCCACATACAATATAGTAGTAATAAAGTTTTGTTGTCTTATATTTTCCTGACTATTGCAACATGTTGGGTCTTGTATTTCCATCCTGTTGCAGATTTACTGCAACAGGATGGAAATAAGAGTGCTTTTCATTACCACAACTATAGTAGCTCAACCGCCTTAAAAATTGTGATTCAATATGGTGAGGCATCTGATTCGATTAACTAGTGCTCTGTGATGACTACTCACAAGTTTTAAAGCAGAATTAATTCAATAAATTATTTTTCCAAGCAGATGAAATTTGCTGTATATATGCTGTACGTAACAAAGCCTGTCAGTTACTATGGAGCCTCTCCTGAATTTCTACAATACCAAAGTGTCTAGTCAAAGTCGACTTTCATCACTTTATAAATATGTATAAATTAGTTACATTTTACAGAGTTCATATATGCTCAAATCTGAAGTTGCCACCTTTATAATCCACATACTTGTGCATTTTATGAATCTAAAACAAAAAGATGTACAAGTCAAGAACTGGAAACCATTGTGTCTTAATGGTTTGAATGGAAAAAAGTGGGAGTCTTGGAAATTACAGCTGATGTTAAATCCATCTTTGTGAGGCAGTTACTGTTTCAATAATGTTTAGCCTTTACTGTTGGGTAAATATGTGAATATTAACCCCATGTTTCAAGCAGGCAAACATTGCCAAGTTTAACTAAAAAAAATAGCAGCACAAAACTTAAATACTGTAAAATATGAGTTAAAAGCTTCAGGAAAAAAAAATATGCGTTAATTTTTATTAAATTAAGAATCTTAATCTTTCTTTGTAAACCATTTCACTTTAGATGTATGATGAGAGTAAAAGTCAAGATAAACTTATGTTTTGGTAAGATACCCCCCTTCTAACAACCTAGTATTGTATTTATACAATGCTCTTTACAACATCAGAGCATTTCCTTAAAGATTACAAGACCTACCTGATTCTCAAAATAGAAAAGTTTTAGATCCATTTTTATCTTTAAAACCCTTAAAGTAATGTACCCAAGTGATCATCCAACTTCAGTCTACCTTGTTATTGTCATTGATGAGCTGTAGGGTGAGTCTGGTGTTGGTCAGCTCCATGGTTTCCAGCAGGGCCCGATAAGGGGATTCTCCAGGCTTCATCGCTCGCTGGCGCCTGACATAAGGCAAAAACAGACATCAGTCATAAATCAGTCATTTTCATTTGAAAACATGCCTTTAATTTTTCATTTTCTCATGTTCCACTCACTTGCAGAAAGCACTTTGGTCGCAGGTCTTGAAGTTGCCCTTGTCCACAGCCCAGGACCCACTGAGGCACAAGGCCAGCCAGAGCAGCAGGACAGGCCCCATCCTACGGAGGAAAAACCAGCAGCACATCTCCAGTTCATGCACTTTGGTTTGATTGAGCAATAGCCAAATAAAAACCCGAGGGGACGCTCTAAAAACCTGAGGAGGGGCCGATAAACCTTACACTTGAACTTTGAGCTCGTTGCTCAAATCTGCCCTTAAATCAATTCTAGTTAAACCTTTTCCATTTAAATCCTGCAACCACACAATGTGTATTTAAATGAAATAGTACTAAGCACTGCTTTCTGAATTTTAAAAAGGCAGAACTACATCGAATGCGTCTCTTTATCCCTGTCAAATCTCACCGATGCAAATGAACGTGTTTGGACTATTGCCAAGATGAACGTCTTAGCTAACACAGCGGCTAACGACTGCTAAAATTAATCTGCGCCCACATTACTTAAAAAAAAATAACATATTACATACAGGTTGAACAAAATAACCGCAACACTATACGACGCTTTGGTTGAGGAATACTTTAGTGGCAACACTACGAGTATGAATAAGCTGCTCTGTAAATCTGAACACTATCATGCTAACCTTGCTAACATCCTGCCGAGCCGCTAATTCAATTGAAACGGAGACAGAGACTTTTCCCACTAGTACTGGGTTCCTTCACGACCTCCAAACCTTTAATGACGTCTGCATTCACTAAATTCACCCCACAACTTATAACCCCTGCCAGCAAGCAAAGAAACACCGAATGAAGACGGTGGAAAAATCCTGGATAAAAGAGCGGAACTGCTCCGTCCTCACCTCTCTGTGAAGGTGGCCATCTCGATTCGGGTCCCGTTTGCTCCGCCCCCTTTTCACTCTGCAACAAAGATCGTTTAAAAAGGAAGATTCTCAGCAACCGACCTAAAAATGAGTGCTCAGTTTTTACATCGACAAACGAACCGAGAGAGGGGGGATTCACATAAAAGTCAGTCATTTAGATATGCGAATAATGTTTAATGGAGCAGACATGGGAACTTCTTGGGAATATTTACCCTCTCAGTGTCGGACACGTCACCTCCAAGATCCACTCAGTGAGGCGCACACACGCATCCCGGATTTGTCACGGTGGATTTATTTCAGGCCACTGTGGAGATTAATATGAACTGCGCCTGTTGACTGCAAGAGCAACCTGGTGTTCTTATATCCTTAATATGAATTAAAAAGTGTAACCCTACCTGTAAAACTGACATTTAAATCAATCTGAACTTTTTAAAATACTTTATTCTGTTTGTATTTTTTCCCAAATTAATTCAAAAATACTTTATCGACCCCAAAGGGAAATTAAATGCCCTAAATTATTACTCCAGGTTCTTCACAGATGATGACCAAGAAGGATCTCCAGTACTAGTGTGTAATAACAGCTAATCTGAAGAAGTTTCTCACTGAAAACACTCTGTTGTTCGACAGCAGTCCCATGAAGAAGATGAGCAGGGTTGTCCCTTTTATTGATTTTATTCATAATACTTTGTACAATTATCTCCACACTCGTCCCTAGGACAGAACCAGCCTTCTTCAGCAGCTTGATTACAGAAAGTATGCAACCGAATCTCGTTAAAGTTGTTTTATGGTGTTGGTAAAGACATTGCTTCCGTTATCTTGTATTTAGAGTCCATTGAATTAAATTAAATAGAAATCAAATACTTTTTCTGCCCAGCAGAGTCTACAATGCTCAATAAAACCCATTCAAAAACAATTTTTTAAAATAAAATTCTATCAGGACTCCAGGCAGTGCAACTCATCTCAAATAATTTGAAAACCTGACAGCAAAATGCATAAAATGCCTCAAGTACTGGTGTAATAGTCCACCTTGGAGATAAGTGAACTTCGTTCCTAATGGTAGGATGCACAAGATCTTTAAAGATAAACGAGTGTTGAGGTTGAGTTCTCTTAAGGCACCATTAGCATAATGTACAGATTATAAAGTTGGTGCAGACATTGTCCATGTTTCAGTCCTCCATATCTCACTGTAACGTGGCTTTACGCGAGATCACCATGTTGAATAAACTGGAGAAATAGAAATGAAATATGACTGATTTTAATTTAGAAGCTGGGGTGAAAATGAATCTCAGTTTGAAACTTATCTGTAAAGATCTCCAGATCAACCTGATGATGCAGCAAAAAAGTACAATTTCAGCAGCTGTTTACTACAAAATTTATTTTGCAATGTGGTGTAAACAAGTTTTTTACTATAACAAAAATGGAAAGTATGTTTACAGAACAACTAGAATTAGTGGTTTTTCTAAACCAAAATTACAAACTAAGTTTGAAAACGATCTTTCTTTACAATTAAACACTTCCCAGGGCTATCTAATAGAAGTTGAATGGAAAAGTACAGAAAATATAATCTAAAACACAAACTTACACACAAAGTTTTACATTTATAAATTTTAAGTCAACTCTTTAAGCAACAACAGTAATCTCCCTGTGTGATGCTGACTTGCATCACCAGTTTGTTTCCCTCTCAGAGCTGAAACCGCCAGCACAGGTGTCCCAGTCTGTCGATGTTTTTATGCAGGACGCTGTGGATCGGTGCCACATACCTGGACACATCCCCGTCCCGAGAGAAATCCCTGCAGAACATGCCTTTATCTGAGCTGAAAACAAACTTCTGGGGCAGCGGCCCGTTCCCCCTGACGTATTCCCACACGGCCAAGAGCAGCAGCCTCACCTCAAACGGGGTCAGGTGAGCAAAAGCCTCGTGGACGTTGGCCAGCACAGGTGGCAGGAGCTGGCCTTCGCCCATGCAGGACACCAGCAGGCAGGAGGCCTGCAGGTGCCAAGGAGAGTCTGTTGACGAAGGCTCGCGGGAACCCTCCCAGTGGGACAGCAGCGTAGCTAGAAGGCCTCTGAGCACGGCGGAGCAGTAGCAGAGCGCCGGCCGCCCGGCCGCCACAACCTGAAGCAGGTGGAAGAGGACCGGGTGGGCCTCGAAGCACCGCCGGATGTGGATGTCTCGCTCCACGGTGGTGCGGGCGTGCTCCTCGGGGGGCCAGGACAGCTCCCCGTTGGCCACGTCTGGACAGACGTTTTCCACCAGCGTGACGGCAACGACCTTTGCTGCCTCAGCATTGATGGGTGGAGGCTCTTCGGGATCGGATGGCGACTGAGAGCCATTGAGGCTGGACGAACTGCAGCACTGGACGATGACAGCCAGGAGAGTCTGGATGTTCTGCAGAGAAAATACAGAAACACAGCGTACACAAGTGTCTTTATTCTGATTGATTTAGGTCCCATGGATGTGAAAGAATCATATTGAGAAAGTTATAGTCAGCAGGCTGCATACACTTAGTATGGATATTATTTTTTAAGATTCATTTCAATTATTTAACAGGACACTATCATATGTTTTCTATGCACATTGTGCCATTTTAAAAGCACAATTAGCTATAAGACTGAACTAACAGTTGTTATAAAAATGTTATATCATACATGACTTAAAAGGAATTAAGACTTTGAAATTTAATGCCTTGAAATCAGGCCTCTGTCTCTTCCTCTCCTGCTCTTTCTGAAATTTCACCTTCAGGAAGTTATCAAAACATGGCTCCTCTATTAACTCTTTAACAACATTTTTCCAATTAAATTAGAGCTCAGCAGATGTTCAGTTCCACCAGGTGTTTGCTAATTGCTGCTGGCTTGTCTGAAGGAGCTGAGTCAGGGAGTTGCAGGGAGGACTGCTCTGTGAGTCGGAAGCTTGGAAATTGCAGCTCTGAGAAGGAGGCGGTGCAAAGTCCACCCAAGTACATCTGACTGGCTGCCATGAAAATTGGAAGATTTCTCAAATACGCATGAAAGAGTCAAGGCAACAATCCTGCTATGTTTTTGATGATTGAATAACATTATAACATGATACAAAAACAAAATAGTTATATTACATAATAATGCCTCATTTAATTGTTTAAAGGGAAAATTACAACAAAATCATAAATAAAAATGAATGAACTTGTGCCCAGGTCTCAATTTGTTGTGTATTTCCGCTGATCTTACCATTAAAATTAATCGTTAAAGGATCATTAGTATGCATTGGTGTCCATAATGAGTAAACCTCTGAACAGAACTCCATCAGTAACCCACCTGGACGACTTCTGATGGATCGGGCAGATTTGCAGCAGTGCGAGCCTTCAGTCCCTTCCCGATCACTCCTGCGTGGAACACCGACCACACGCTGCCGGAAAAGTTCACCGTGGTGCCGAACCGACAGTTAATGTCCAGCAGAGACGCGCCCAGGTCAGGGGACACGGACGGAGAGGCCACAGGAGCTCCAGACATGTCGGCGATCTGGCCGCCAAACAGCTCAGCGTTGCCCTTGTGCAGCGCCCCCTCCACCAGCTGCTGGAGGATGGCCTTCAGGGTGAGGGCGGAGTACGCCGCGAACCGGGTCAGGAGCAGAACTGAGCAGCTCACAGCCTCGCCTGACTGCCCCTCGTCTTGGCCCGCCTTCCCTGCTTCCCCACGTCTCCTCAGTGCCAGGAAGAAATGCGTGACAGCGGCTCTGGAGAGCAGCAGCAGGTGCGCTGGGGAGGCTGTGCGGGGCAGTGGGCTGCAGGACAGCAGGCGCACGGCGGCATGAGACACGGCCGGGTCTCCGTGGAGCAGGAGAGGCCCGAAATCGTGGAGGTGCACGGAGACTGCAGAGCCGATCTGGGCGGCCATGGAGGATTGAGCTCCTGCTCCTGCTGCTGCCTTCTTCTCATCGTCCTGGCTCTGCAGCACTGCAGCCAGGTTGAGCAGCAGCTGGCGCAGCTGCCGGCGGCCCAGTGTGTGCGTGTGAATCTGAGCCACGCAGTGAGCCACGGCGGCCGGAACGAGCCCAACCATGCAGGACGACAGCGTGGCATGAAGCTGCCAGGCCAGAGCCAGCTCCTCCGGGTTGCGGGCCTGGGTGAGGAGCTGGCAGAGCGTCTCTGTGGCAATGCTGGGACCACCGTATACTGACAGAAGACACAGCAGCTGATGCAGCCAGAGGTGGCGCTTCCTCTCCAGGCGCAGCGTCTCCGCACACAGTGGAGCGACATGCGAGCGCAGTTCCTCCAGGAACGGGATGACCCTCTGAGGCTGAGAGGAGGTCGAACAGAAAGGGCTGATCTCTGACCCCTCGGAACGGTTGAAGACCAGTTTGTGGAGATGCAGCAGCAGCATCTGCAGCAGGCGGTCGCAGCCTTCTCGGACTCCTTCATGAGGCGAAGGCGTCGGCCCGGAGATGATGACGGATGCAGGCGTTGCTGTGTCCGCCAAGAAGCGGAGGACTCGGGCGCCCCCGGTGGGACTCTGGCTGATGAGGTGGACGGCCAGACCCAGCATGTTGTCCAGCTCCTCCCTGGGGAGGCCCTGCAGCAGAGCCTGCAGCTGCAGCAGCACTGCAGGCCGCAGCAGCTCCACCAGCTCCGAAGACACGGCTCCAAACAGGTTGGGAGACATGGCAGCGAGCTGCAGCAGGAACGGCACGGCGGCGCGTCGCAGCTGGGGGGACGCCTCCCAGGAAGTGGAGGACGATGAGGGAGAGAGGGGAGTAGAGGGAGCCAAGCTCTCCTGAAACATCCTGAGCAGCTCCTTCCTAATGCTGTCGGAATGATGCGCGGCGAGATGGCCCAGGATCCCCACCACAGAGCCGATCTTTGGCACTCTGCTGCCTTTTTCCACCAGCGGCCCCTGATCTTTGGCCCCGTGGGAGCAGAAGTCCTTCAGCCCGCAGGCCAGCACTCTGCTGATGATGGTTCCTGGGAAGGCAGAGCCGATGTGAGCCACCACCCAGTCGAAATGTGGCGAGTGTTTGACCGACGTGTCCAGCAGCGCATCCACACAGGCATCTGGGCACCAGGCCAACATGGCCGCCAGGCACTGGGAGTAGGCCTCCATGAGGGAGCGAGTGGCGGCGCAGGACATCCAGAGCTGCAGCAGCTCGTTGAGGCTGGAGGAGTGGGGGGCCACCCTGCGGCCAGCATGCTTGCTGCTCAGCTGGCCCAGGAGGTCCACGGCCCAGGTGGAGACCAGCGGGGCCCAGGCCCGCGGGTTCAGACGGATGAACTCCGACAGGACGCCATGAACCTCCTACAGCAGACAGGAAGGGATAAAAGAATAGTCCACACAAATATTTGATACATGGAACATAATCCCTTATATTCCAACATTTCAGAATATTCCAAACATTTGAGAACATTAAGATGCAAACAATTCAATTTCTACTTTTTAATATAAATTTAAAAGGCAAATGCTGTTTGTTTGAGTCTGTATACTCCACTTAATGATTAATCAATTACTAAATTACATGACATTTGTTGTAAATTAATTCATCATGATTAATTCAATTGTTTCAGCCATACCAAAATCTATGACACCAACACCGTAAAAACACAAATTTTAGTTATTCTAGTGCAATTACTTTAGTACAATGGAAGTAAGAAAAAAACTAAGTTTCAGCAGTAAGTAGCAGCATGTTTCAAGTCAATAATTCCTTAATATTGATGAAAACGTACTAGTTTCACTTTTAACAAGACATTTTCCCATGTTATAAATGTTATCCGATTAATCATCAGAATAATCAATCACTAAATCATTAGTTGCAGCTTGCTAAACAATTATGGAAATAACTACTTTTCTAAATATTTTAAGGATGCATAGGAAACTTGTATGACGTCTCACCTGTATGATGTCCTCCAGGTTGGAGGTCGCCCCAGAGCTGGTGTTTCCCTCCATCTCCAGGTTATGAAGAAACGTCGACACATGCTCGTCATACACACCCCTCAGATGCTCCAGCACAGCGCCCCTGCAGGCCGGGACCGAGCGCAGCAAGCGCACAGCGCAGCGGGCGTGCTCTCTGACACTGAGCTTCCGGCCCTGAACGGCGTCCACGCCGCTGATGAAGGACTTGATCTCCTGGGAGAGTTCCTGGGCACTGCGAGGGAAAGGACGAGATTAAAGTAGCACAACAAATAATAAGTTGTTGCTAAAGAAAAAACATCTGTAGAAGTTACCTATAGCAACTAACAGCTAGAAACTTGTACTACATACAACATTTCATTGGTACTTGGTACAAAAATGTACATTTATAGTACGCAAAATGCCAAAAGCGTAAAACTAAAACTGCACAACACTATGAAAACACAGTTAATACAGTGATACATATTAGTAGGATATTTTGCTTCAGTCTAACAGGGAAATCAGTCAGAATTGATGTGAAGATGGATGCAGGTAAATACTGGATAATCCTGAAAGAAAACTTGTTTGACGTTGCAAAACCCCCAAGACTGGGGTGGAGGTTGACCTTCCAGCTGAACTGAGACCTTAAACATACAACCAGAGCTGCCAGGGGATTAGATCATGTTTTAGAAAGAAAGTCCAAACCTACATTTTAATAGGAAACTGACAAATTAGAAAATTGGTGCCACCCTTTCTATTTGACTGAACTTTAGATGCTTTTCAAAGAAGATTCTGTCAAAAATCTTCGCTGTCTAGATGTGCAAAGCAGGTAGAGACGTTCACTGAAAAGTCTTGCAGCTGTAAATGCAGCAGAAAGTGGATGCACAAAGGAATGTGGTGGAAATTTTTTACTTTTAACGTAGAAAGTACTCCTAGAATAGAGCTTCTGTGTTTCTGTGTGTCTGCTCTGCTTCTCAAACTCTCTGTCAGTCGAGGCAGATGGATGTTTACACTGAACCTGGCTCTGCTGTAGGTTTCTTCCCGATAAAGAAGCGTTTTTCTCTCTGCTGTCGCTACATGCCTGCTCGGAATGAGGGATTGCTGTAAAGTCAACAATACAATGCTAGTAATTGTCTACTGTCGCTGGATGCTCATTCAGGAGGAAGTGTAACTTAATGCTGCTTGGTTTCCATAAACAGAAAACCCTTTTTAATAAACTTAAATAAACTGAACTTAACTGTATTGCTTTATAACAGTCAATTGATCCATTGGATTCAATTGACTTTTTTGTAAATTGCCTTGAGACAAGTGTGTTGTGAATTGGTGCTGTATAAATAAACTAAGTCGAATTAAGACTAAACGTAAGCCAATTTCTTTCTCCTACTTCACAATTAAAGAATACAAGTAAGGTGAAGTGATTAATCGGACTAGTTGTGATTGTCAAAATGATCAACTAATATAGTAATCAATTAATTTTGAACTGGAGTATAGTGACTCAAAAAGGCACACTGATGAAAGAACAACAAACTCAAATCAATAATTAATCCAAAACCATACCAAAAACGCAAACATTGTGCCTTTATGATAAAAGAAACCTATGTAAATATGTTCTATGTAAAACTCAAGTGGAATTATTTAAGCTTCATATTCTACAAAAAGTTCTCATTAAGCACTAATCTTTTACTGCATTTTTCTTATTATACAAAAAGGTTTTACATGAAAATCTGTATGTAGCGTCAATGTTTTTAACCAACTGTCTGACAAATCGATAGATTCATCAATGACTAGAATAATTGTTAGCTGCAGCCCTACTTTACATTTGATAAAACGCAGGTAAGGTTATGTAATAAACTATATTAGAACTATATTCCAGAGAAGTGAATGGTTTAATAAGGGTCCAACAGAGAACATGTCTCGGTCCAGTCTGCAGGGCTCCTCCTACCTCAGGGCGGCCGGGGCTGTGTGGCTGTGGGCGCCCTGCATCGCTTTCAACGGACTCCCGTCAAAAACCACAGACATGGCGGACTCCTTCAGCACCAGGCCGGCGCTTCCAACCCGTCCCTCGGTCTCAGGGCCTCGAGTCGGGGGGACTATCTAGAGCTCTCTGGGTGTTTGTTTGATGAAACTCAGGACAAATACAGGGCGGTCCACGGCCGGAAGTTGGAACTTCTTTTGCCGTTAAAAACCGGAAGCAGGCTATCCACTAAGTGTTCTCACTGGCGACACCTAGCGGCGACTGTGGGTTTCAACTTTCTTTTCCAGACACATTTTTAAAATTATGCCATAACTGAGCCACATTGTGATTCTTGTCACTCAGGGTTGATCAAATGCGGCGATGTGACTTCTGCTTTCTTATTTTCAGTTTAAAGTATTTACATACAAGTCCAGTGGGAAAACGGAGAAGTTTGGGGTAAAAATGGAGGATTTTGTTCCCTAACAGGAGCTCTTGATTAATTATGAAGAACAAAGTTTTATCAGAACATCAGTACAAACTTGATTATAACATTTATAGGTACGGTATTGATGGGATTTAATTTTTTCATTGACAATTTTCTCCATGCCTGCCCAAAACCCAGAAGAGATGACAGTTTAATAAATGTGTTACAGTCTCTGACTAGATGAGTAAAATACACAATTTTCATCCAAATCCTTAAGGGTAAACATAACAATGTTTATTGTTATGAGGGTAATTTTGTGCAACATCTTTAAATTATCTGACCTTTTAAATCATCCATGCCTTCCTCCAATTAATATTAATATGTCTATCCCAAAGAAACTTTCCTCTGGGTGATATGTGAGCTTTTTATGTCTTTCTTTATGTGTTGGTCTGAGCATTTGTTGTCCATACATACTTTAACTTTCTTTTCTTTATTTCTTTCCCTTTTAACCAGTGATTTTATTTTATTTCAAATAAGATCAATGACCTCTGCAGAAGTTCATCCAGAGAGCAACTGGTCTATTCTGGGCCCTCTTCCTCCCAGTTGGATGCATTCTTTATTATTTCTACCCCACCCTCCATTCAGGAAGCATCATATCCCCTTGCAGGACTTTGCAGGGGGATATGATTCTTCCTGAATCCAACTGGCAGGAAGAGGGCCCAGAACAGACCAGTTACTCTGTGTAGGAACTAGGACTATTTCTTATGCTGGGAAAACTTCACAATTACTCACAAGGAGCCAGATAGTGTTGCTGAAAAGAGAGGTGTCTGAGTTTCCCTCCCCGGGGGCAAATATTTGATAGGTGTAAGAAAATGAATGGATGGATGAACATAGGTGGGTAGAGTAAACAAAGGTTTCACTCAAGTATAGTAGCAATACCTCAATATATATACCAGTGTATATAAGTGCTGTAGTACTACTGAAGGAAAATTAAAAGCAGATCTCCAAAACATCACTCAAGTATGAATGAAAAAAAAATGGTAAAAAGGTTATGAACTTATCATAATGTCTGACTCAGTATTTCACAATTATGTCATCAGACACAAAAAACAAAGTCCAAAGTCTTGTATTTTATAGACTAAACTGACACCTACAAATGTCACAACAGGCTTCAGAGTTGGAAAATAAAATAAAAACGAAAAGCTTGTGTGGGAACAAGAGGTTTACTTTAACATAAACTGCAAGTTTGTGTCTCATGTTTTTGGTTGAAACAGGTTTACTCTTTATTCAGTGAAGTTACTCACAGTGATTAGAGTATTAAGAAACTTTTCCAACCAAGAGTAGTGATAACTCATAATAATATTACTCAGGTTAAAGTATTAAGTATTATATAGGAAGACTACTCCTAAAAGAACATGTCTTCCAAAAAGTTACTGAAGTAAATTTAATTAGTTATAACCCATCTCCTTAGATGAATATGCTGGGATTACATTTGACCACAGAACTTACTTCACCAACAGTAATGTGTGATAAAAAAAAAAGTAGAGATATCACTTCAGTTTTTCATTCACCTTAAAATCCAAACAATTGTTTAAAAAATGTGAACAGGTGCCTCAAGTGGAATGATTTTAAATTGTGACAGTCACGACTCTCAGCAGGTGTGATCTGCTGTCTGACTGAGCGTGCAGTGTTGTGGTTCTCACCCACAAAAGCAAGGTTTCTTCATGGTTCCTCATGAGTTTGACGGCACATGATAGTGTCCGTCAGGCATGTGGTGCTCTGGTGACCGGTCATTTTTTTATGTATGACAACTTAATAAATCTAGATACTTAAAGAAGCTAAAAGAAACAATCCAAAACCAATATATATTCTTTCTCAGAATTCCAGCATTTCATCACATGTGAGATGTGTGACGAAATGTCATAAGTGAGGACAGAGGGCAGAGTCCTCTCACCAAGCTGGATAATTACTCAGGCCAGATATCAATACCTACATTAATGTCTAAAGAAAGACAATAATTTGATTTGATCAGAGTCAAAAGATGATTTTTTTTAACAGTTTGTTAATTTAAAATGAATATTTCTTTGTGTAAAACCCAGATAGCAATCTTCCCCATCTGTGCAACTTTGACTAAATGATTGATTAATGATGCTTTGACCCATTGTGATTAGCTCTGGTCAATCAAGCTTAGCATGCTGCTTGCTCATTAACATACAGTAAAGGTCTACTGCATCAGCTTTCTTCTTTTTTTTTTTTATCTCAAACTAAATTTTAGTAGACAGATGATAAAATTGTATCATCTCCGAGTCACTACATACAATCTTTCTGTGTGTTTCAAATCATCCATGGAGATCAGTAATTATATTACAATATGATATGCAAACAATATAATGTACACACACAACCTTTTAATGGGCACCTCTGACTAAAGTCAGTAAAAGACCAGAACCTCTCATGATGCTGAAAGATGCTTTTATCAAATGTTGATTTCAATTTAAAGCTCTGACAGGAAGCAAAACATGTTTATATGTAGGAACGCTGATGCAAACAAAAAACAATTTCTAAATGAATGTCAACAAAATTATTAAAATGTATTTATTTATTCATTTACACTGGACGAATGAAAACAAAAGTGATAAACAGAACAATTATAAAAATCGACAAACAGGCTTGTTTATATTGTTGAGAGTGAAACCTAAAAACTGAATGAATAATAACTCTCATTTTAAAACAGAGTTCAGTTTTAAAACAATATTCCAAGCTTTAAACATACTACAAAACTACAAATAGTATATGGTACAGCTGCAGACATAGCTCAGATATGACAGAGAGACTATTCAACGCGTTCTACACATGTGGCTTCTGTGGAAAAGTGCCAAGAAGAAACCCGTTAGAAGTCTCAGTTAGTCTTCCTGCAGTCATGTCTGGGAAACACAAGGAAATGTGAAACAATGTGAAACCAAGATGGATGCAGCCATATACCGGGTCATCTGTGAACAAAAGCTATTAATTCAAATTCAAAATCACTAAATGGATCCCAAAATGAAATCAAATACAAGAAGCTGCAAAGAGCTTGAGATTGGAGATGAGAAATCTGCCAACACTTGATATTTGGTGTTTACAGTCGCAATCCTGTTAAATCTCCCTGAGCTCGAATTAGTTTGCAAAGAACAAAAGCCAAAGCTTTAGTGTACCCTGCTGTTAGGGACACTCCTTGAAAGCCTTTCAAGATGTAATCACAGTGAAATGTGGCTCTATGAAGAATTGACGCAGGAGTCCTTCATACAAAATGCATGCCACACTTTTCAGACATTCCTTGACAAGCTTGATGCTCTTCTTTGCGTTGGTTTATAAATGACCAACAAAATACATTTAAAAAGCTTGTGACGAGATTTTTTAAAAAAGGGGAATAAAGTCTAAAAGTATGAAAGATTATTTATTTATTTAATTAATTGATTTGTTTGTTTGTTTATTTATTTGTTCATCTATTTATTCCTCCGTTTTTAGGAAGTTTGAACTTTTATGAAACCGTCACCACCATTCAAATGGTGATGAGCAACATTAGAGGAACGTGAGGCCGTCGTGACGTTTGCTCGCTCGGTGACGTCTCTTCCCTCTTTTTGCCGTTGGGGTCACGTGTCACGAGCGTCCAGCTGATCCGCGAGCCTCTGAGCTTTAACTTGACTGGTGGCGCCTGGCACTTCGCAGAACAGCCGGTCGCCTCAGGTAAGAACAGCGACGTAGCCTTTTAAAACGGGTCGGAACCGGGCTGTTCTGTGGACCGTGTTCCGTTGGTGTGATGCTGCGGCGTGTCGGGGCCCGGGCTGGGATGTAAACACAGACCGGTTCGGGTCAATTCGCCTCTGAACATTAGCATTTTGCGCTATTTGTTGGTGAAGTCGTTAAAACTGGGACGTTATTGACACTAATTAAATGCACTTCTGTTCTTTTAAAAGTAAATCACTGATGCTCATGCTGTCGACAGGATGGTTTTAACAACTAGAATCAATCTTCTGCTTTGAGCTGCTGTCAGAATTTGTGTTGAAGTTTGTTTTGTCTCTGCAGGGGTTTAATCAGAAAGTGAAAGGATTTCAAGCCACTGCGGGTTGAAAACAGGGTTGACATGGCTCCAACACTGGTGAGGACACTATATTTAAATAGAAGCTTGTTATTGTGTGTGACCTTGCACTGGAAAATGTGTAAAGCACAGTCCAACCATTGGATTGCTGTGAATAGTAGAAAAACAAGGTATGATATATGCAGTTGAATTTAAAAATCATGTGTTTGTTACAGCCATCTCTTGTTTTGCAAGTGAAATGAGGTCAAATGTGCACAGAATCTATTGTAATGTTCAACATGCTTCTGTCTGTCTTCTAATCCCAGTATGATGAGAAACCAGACCCGGGGGACCTGATAGAGATCGACCGTGGCTCATACCAGCACTGGGCTGTCTATGTGGGCGACGGCTTTGTCGCTCACTTGGCGCCACCCTGTGAGTTAAACACACAGAACCAGTGTCCACATGCCAGATTGTGGGGGGGAAAGCAGCTTACGACAGCCCACAACTGGGTGTGTGCTTTTTCAGAATACAGCAGAGATTCATCTAACTTTTTAAATCTGAAATATTCAAACAGCTTTAAAGACAGCTGTGTTTGAAAATAAACAGAGGTTCTCAGAGTTTTACACTTTCTGTGGAGATATTTTAGAACCAACTCAGGCTTTTCTTTAGTTTGTTATGTCAAGTCAACAGAAACATAAAATAATACAGAAAATTGCTCTTATTCATCAGCGCTCTTTTATTTGTACCTAAAAGTTGAAATGTAGAATTTGAAATTTAATCAAAATATCAATAGCCGTGACAATTTAAAGTAGGAAAGCTACGTAAGTTTTAAAAGCTTAAAGTTGTATCACTAACACCAACTTCAAAATCCAACATGGCTGCCTTGTACATAAAATCTATTGACAACGAATATAAAGAAAACTGTTATTTGAAACACCTCTGTTGATTTATGCCAGTTGTCCCATAAAACTTACTGTAGAGAGCATGTTGCGAAAGTACTTAAAGAACAAAATGCAGAATTTACCTTGTTAGCTTCTGTTGCTACTAGCAATTAGCCTGATTGCTGAGTAGAACAGTGAGGAAATCCCAATGGGATCTGAAAAATGGTTACATTTGGGTTGATAGTACCAACAAATTGAAGTCATTTGAACACTTTCCGGTTATAAAGCCGATGTTACTGTCTTGGGTTGTTTGAGTTGTTTTGGCTCTTAGTTCTGATTTGTTAACCGTTCTTGTTTTGATTTGATCAGCCTTTCTCTGTTTACCTTTGGTTCAGTTCTTTCGCGGTTGCTTTAGTTTTGTTATGTTCTAATCTTCTAGGTATTTGTCAGTGTTAGATATATTTCCTTGTTCCTCTGTTTGTGTATTCTCCTCGCCTCCTGTGCCATTTTCTCTCCTTTCTCTCTCTCCTCTCACACCTGCAGTTGATTAGCTAATCAGGTGCTTCGCTCCAGTTTTCACTCTCCCAGTATTTATAAATCTCTGCTCCTCTCATCCCTCGTTGGTTTCTCCATCATGCTCTTCTTGTACCTGCCTTCCGCCTTTTCTGTTCTCCTGGCCTCTTGTAAGTTTTTGTATTTATCCTTTTTTTAAAAATTTATTTTAACATTTCATGTCTCTCTTTATATATGGGTCCACTAAAACCTACCAACAATATGACAGTTACTGTCCACTGTCGCCACATGCTTCCTCAGAAGGAAGGATTGCTGCAAAGTCAATGACTTGATTCAATCACCTGGATTTTCAAATTGCATTTGATTGTTTTACAGTATAACTTTGACTGAATCCATCAGTTTAATATATAGTTTAATTATATATTTCTGTATGAATTAACTTGACTTAATGTGCATTGTAAAGTAGCACTAAATTAAATAGGGAGCTTCCAGCAACTTCATCCACGTCCATTTTTAATCCTCTACACAATAATAAAAACACATGGGTTTACTTTGCAAATAGTGCCAAAATGTATCTGTCTTTGTATCACTAGAAACAATACACCAATGGTCAGCTTAACACAGTTCAAAACCAAAGCCAGCGCGTCCTGATGATGTTCTCCTGTTTGTGTTTTATCAGCTGAAGTTCCTGCTGCAGGCTCCAGCAGCTTAATGTCCGTCCTGGCCGAGAAGGCCATCGTCAAGAAGGAGGAGCTCTGGGACGTGGTGGGAACAGACAAGTGGTCAATCAACAACAGTCTGGACCAGAAGTACAAGCCCCGTCCGCCTCATGTTATTGTGCGTGAGGCCTGTAGTATGGTCGGTCAGGAGCTTCCCTACTGCATCTTCAGGGGAAACTGCGAACACTTTGTCAACGAGCTGCGCTACGGGAAAGCAGAATCCCGGCAGGTAGGCAGCTCAGGTTTTATGTAAAAGATCACATACATATTGGAGCAGGTTAATGTGCTATATGTTCAAAATATGTTCATGATGTTTTCTGCACAAAATCGCTCAGGAGATTTTATTCTGGTAAGTTCTGTCTACTCTGAAATCCTTTCACATTGAGAAATTTTTAGGGCATCTTGTCACTTTAAATCCAAATAAGTTGCTCCATGCCACATCAGTGTTATACAACATCACTATTATATACCCGTACAGCTGTGAAAAGCAGAAGTAGAGCCTCCTGCACAACAAGAATAGAGCAGGTGGTTTCTAGATAACAAGGCAACTAAACACTTGCCTTTTCCTACAGCCATTGTACAGCAGCTGAACAAACGTGCTTGCTTTGTTTTCAGAAGCAGTTGAGACTCAAATATAAATTCAAATCTGTCCGAAATGTGAATGTGCATAACCTTTAATATTGTGAAGAATATTGACAATACTTCAGGAACAATGAACTCTGACCTTAATGCATAACACAACAGCCCCTCAAGGCAAAACTATAAACTAACTAAGCTCGGTGGGTTATTTAGGACTTTTATGGTTTTAACATTAGAATATGATAACATACAACATAATTTTTAACCATCTTTAATCTATGTGGATTGAGTAGTTGCTTTAGTTTAAATTCCTTTTTTGTTTATGTAAATAAAGCTGGATTTTGCTCCACTGCAGGTGCAGAAGGCAGGTGAAGCTGTGGTGGTGGCTGGTGTAGCTACCGCCGTTGGCCTCGGTGTCTTTGCTCTGGCCAGTGCTCTGTTTGGAGGCAGCAAAAAGGAGAAGAAGGAAACCCAGTGACTGAAACCACAGCGATGTGTTCAGGAGCTTTGAATAACTCATCACCAGCGAAGCCTAAGGGCCACTTGCCACGACTGATCACAGATAGCGCTGCCTAATTTCTCTGATATTAAACGGAACTGCCTGACTTCCAACCCGTCTTTAACAATCCATCAGCTGATTTTTAAGGTTTATGTTTTGATTATTTCCCTCTATTTCAGGGTCAAAAATTTCTACAGAAAGCACAAAAACAACAATTAGTATTTTTACTTGAATAGGTTCAGAAGTTCAGAAGGTGCTGGGAAAAAAAATAGTTACGTTTAAATTATAAACTTCATAGGACAATATTTTTAACAATGAATTAACTTTTTTGTAACCACAGAAGACATTTACCTGACTGCAATCAGTGTAAAAATTTGAAAATCAAAATAAAAAATGTCATTTCTAAAAAATGCCTTATAAAGTAATTTGATGTATTTAGAATGATTTTGAGATCAAAATAATTTCTAATTGTGTGTAGAAATGTTTTATTTTTTGTCCTTCAGATATGTACTTGTTGAAAACGTGTGAATATTGGTATCCAATTTTTTTGTCATTAGGTGTTACTGGGGAAAACTTAAGGCAAAGATATAATGTCAGGTTTTGTTTGAAAGTGTTTTAAAAACTCTACGCAGCCCTGAAAGTCACTTTATAAACAGATTTTATAACCCTGAAGAAATTTCAGTGCAAATATATTATAATCTGTTTTAGAGGGAGGTTGATTTGTAAGATCATTAATATCCTTCAAGAAATAAAGATGGCATCATGGAAACACTAAGATGTTTCAAATACATGACTTTGCTTGTCTTCTTTAAAAAAAGGCTCTTTTTTTACAATGACTAATGTATCTTCATAGATTATGTCTCTCCATGCTGAAACATGATGGCGGTAGTATCACCCTGTGGGATTGTCACTTCTGGAATCACAAACCAAAAGATTGGTAGGGGTAAATGGTGGTTCTACAATGCATTCACTCTAGATGGTTAAATGCAAAAACACACACTTTTCAGATTTACAAAACTGTTATTACTTTTCCACTGTACTGTAGGTCAGTGAATTGTTTAGTCTGACAAAACACTGAAACCACTTTGACTAATTAAAGCAAAGTTTGACTCTGAAAAAAAAAAATCCACAGAAGTATGATTTTGGAATAATTGTTTTTATTTTGGATTAGCACACATGCACCATGATTTGACCGGTGACCCTCTTCAGCCCAAAACCACACAGCTTCCTACAGATTAGCGTCTTGTAACCGACTCTGTCCTTGGCTCCAAGGACTTTTAATCAGTCCAAACCCTCACAGAAACAGACGATAAAAGGCTACAATGAAAGTATGAATTAAAAACAGTGTGCTAAAATTCAGAAGTTTAGGAGCCAAAGTGTTTGAAGATTTCGGTTTTGGGAGTTTATTATTAGAGTAGATCTGCAGCCGAATAAAAAGGCACAACAGTACAATATGTACATTTCACCCTGACCAAACTACTGGACTTGCTTTCCTTTTGTGTCTGCAGCGACCCCTGGTGGAAACTTAAATCCTCCATTAGATGAGGAAAAATGTAAACAGTTTCTACTATAAATTAACATCTTTCTGCTTTTCTATTTGCTCACGCTGATTAATTATCGGTCCAAAAAAGGCTTCACTGACATGCCTGTCAGTTGTGCCTCCTCTCAGAGTAAATGCAGTGCTATATGTGTAAAGTGAAGACACGAACGTAATCTGTTCCAATGGAGATTGTTGTTAGGCCACACAGGTGCATGCATGGACTGATTTTCAGTCCAAAATCTGGAACAGATGAACTAAAAACAGTCATATCCATGTGTGTAACTACAGAACGCACTGAAAGACATTCAGTGAAACGTTACAGAACGTTCTGTATGTTATACGCATCTCTCTTAAAAAAAAAAAAAGTAATTTAACACATGATGCACAGGGTATATACATTTACTGTACAACAGCAACTTAATGATTCATTTTGTTAATGCATCCTGCTTTAAGTCTCTTTGGATTTTCCATCACATTTCTGTCTTTAACTTCCATCAGTCTTTTAATGAGAAAAGACAGAAAATCCTCCTTGTTTGATAAAGGAACTGTTCACAGTTGTCTTTAATGGCTGCTAGTGGAAACTCCTCCACTGCTGGACTCCGGTCTCTGTTCCCAGCCCTGCTGTTCCACCAGAATCAGTCCAGCTTGCGCGCTCCGAGTTTCAGAGGACCTTTAGCAGCTTTACGTTCCGCCCGCTTGGCCTCCAGCTCCTTCCTCCTTTCCTCTCGTTTCTTCTTGGACAGCTCCGCCTTGCTGAGATCTGGGCCACGAAAAGCAGACGTTTCACGTCATACGAACATTTTCATTTCTGGCCATTTAATATGAAGTTAATGTGGAAAATTATGACTCAGAGGTACTAGATATTAAATCTGTGTTTTAGTTATGACTGATTTAGTGTTACAGATGTTTAAGAAGGAGAATAAGATAATGACTTCATTAAAAATCACACTAATGTTTATTTCAAGATCTCTCTTAGAAATAGTTTTACTGTAATATTGGCGCAAAATGTTCTAAAAATACATATAGATTCAATAGAGGTTGTAGGTTGCTCTTAAACTATTGCATTATTTTTGGACTGTATTTCTGAAGCATTTGAGTTGAGTTGCCTGCAAAAAAAAACTATAAATATTTTTGTCTTGTTCCACAAAACCAAGCTCAGATTTCTGACTTAATCAGACAACAGAGTGAAAAAGATCTTAATTCTGGCTGATATCCTGAAATGTTAAGCAAACCTTCAGAAAATGTATATTTCTTATAGTGGAAATGTGACTAGATCTGAGTCTGAGGAACCAAAGAGTTAAACTGCAGAAGCAAAACATCCTGGATCACATTAAAAAAAAAAAGAGCAGAACATTTTGAGAACATGTTGAGTAAAAACACAAGATTAGATCTGAGTTGAAGGACTGACTCACTCTGGCCTCCTTCGACTGACTCCCAGCTCTCGGTGCCCCAGTCTCCGGTCGTCTCTGAGCTCCAGCCGTCTCCAGTCTGTCGGCGAGAGACAAAACTAATCATCACCGAGTGGGAACTCCACTGAGCTGGGGCTTTAAATTATTCAGCCAAAATGATTCTCAGTTGAACACTTTAAGTAAAAACAAACTTTACTTCAAGCAGTCATTATGGCTTAAATTGCAATATTTTAAACATGTTTTCTTGCCTTTGTAGAAAATGCAGAGCAACAAAAAGCAACACATATGAATAATTTTGGCTTAAATTCATTTTCACCTTATTGGTATCAGTCTAGTTTAATCTGTGAACAAGTTTCATTGTGATTTTTTCATATTTGCTTTCATCATATTTAGAAAAACCTTTCGATTACTAATTTATAAAACTGATTAATTGCCCAGTTCTAGTTTGTGGCTGTTCAATTTCAACACTGAAGACTTTAGTGGTTTTAGTGTCAGTGGGAAGGTGAAGAGAGCAATTAGTCACATTTCCTGGTCTACTGTACTGTTTATGTCAGCATTATGGTATTTATGTCAAAATATATCATATTACAACCTGGACATAACTATTGATAAATGAACCCAATAAATGTGCAACTTCTTTTTCATTTAGTTGTACAGTTTATATCGAGGCACGCTCAATAATATAGTAATTATGGAGCCGAGTTTAAAATTTAAATGAGATACTGGATGTTTAATGCCGTATTGGTAACAGTGAGCTTAACGAGGTATTATTTGAATAGTGAACTGGGAATATCCAATAAGAAATTAGCATGACTACTTTATGTATGACAAATGTGTATTAATCTAAAGGAAGTTTTAAAATAAAATAGAAACGTTGAAAATGAGCTCTGAGAGAAAAGTTGCTACAGCCAAAATCTAAAATCCAATCAAGTTTAAGCAGGTTAAATATCCAGCAGCCATACAGTGGAAAAATCGGCTGACTAAACATGCTGGAACTCTGCTGGTGTTGCTAGGTAACGGGGCTGTGCTCTCCTGGCGTTGCTAGGTAACACCACAGTTCCCTTTGTGGTTCAAAAGTCTCATTTTCCAATTAATATCAGCTCCGAAGGGTTTTTTAAGCATTGCTTTCAGAAGGAGTTGAGAACCAAATATAAGCCATCAGTGTTGAAGCTACAGCTGTAAACATGCGAGACACGTTCGATCTGCCTGCTGTTGTTGGGACCTCACCGTGCCAGCAGCCGCGTTTCTCTGAGACACGCTGGCGAACAGGTCGTTCTGCACGGCGCCCTTCCCGGAGCTGCTGTCCCAGTTGTACTCGCTGGCGAGCCGGACGCCTTCGGGCAGCGGGAGGTCCTTGCTGGCCGGCGCCCCGTCCGTCTCCTCCTCCCCCCAGTCGTTGCCCCAGCCCTCCTCGCCCGCTGAACTCTGGCCCTGGCCTTCCTTCTCGTTGGACCAGCTGTCGTCGGCGTCCCAGCCGGAGCTGCTCCAGTCGGAGCTTTGCTTTTTCACCGCCATGGAGGCGGATGATCGTCCAGCCTGCGTGTGGAAAGAAAATGCTTTAAAACAAGCACCATCGTTACCATAGAAACAGTCTTCAGGAGAAACGATTCGTACTCCTCGATCGGTGGCTTTCTTTTTGGATGATGCAGCTCCGGTCCAGTCGGTGTTCCAGTCCTCAGCTTTTTCCGGTTCCTACAGAAAAAGACTCAGTGACTCACAAACTCGAACGTACAGCTCCGTGGCAACGCACCGTCAAAAGTAATAAATGCACCTCTAAGCTGCCCCAGTCCTCCTCATCGTCCCAGCGGTCTCCGATTTGCCCTTCGTCATCGATGTCTGTTGCTCCAGGCGTCAGCGACTGGTTGGTCCGATCAGACGCTCCGTGGCGAGACGGGGAGGAGTGTTGGCTTTTATCTTCTGCACCCGAGAGCAGAAGTGATGATCATCATCATGTCAGACAAAATACACACAGGCTTTATACTGAGTTCCCACAGCAAAATTCAAGCACTTTTCAAACATTTTTTAAGAAAAGTTCTCAAACTTTTCCAGTGGCACAATTTGAAAAAAAAAAAAAAAAAAAAATCAGTACAAAAGAACTGCTTTATTAATAACATGCTGTCATAGTATTCTATATTCTACAGCAGGAACAAGCTAATCTGAAATATAACAAGATTTTATCTCTTGATTATCTGACTGGTCAGACAAAAGTTACAAAAATATCTAAACAAACAAACAAACAAAAAAGGTTCTTGGTAGGTTTTCTGGCATTAGCAAATAGAAATAATTCAGGTCATTCTAACTAATCTAAAACAAGAGAAATTAGGTCTGATTGAACTTCAAACTCTTATGTTTTTAAGTGTCTGAGCAGAACTTTGATCCCCGTTTTTCTTAAAAGTGCTTTATAAATAATTTGACTGAATACAACTCATTAATATTCCATAATCTTTAAGGATTTCAATAAGAACCCTGTGCATAGCAGAGCTTTATTACAATGTAATGCGGTTCCTTCTCAGTTTATTCTAATAAAAGAAAGCTGTACCTTTGCTTAAGGCTGATCCTCCATCAGTGGTACTGGTGGGGCTGGTCGTGCTGGACGGCCCGCTGCCCTCGGCTGCGGTGCTGCCCTCGGCTCCTGGGTTGTTGCGGATCAGCTTGGAGGTGAGCGAGGAGACGCCGGTCACGGCCCAGCCGGCCCAGCTGGACGAAGCTCCTGCAGGGTGAGCGCTCGATCCCACATCCTTCTCTGCAGGAACGACAACCCAGAAATCAGAGATGCTTTTTTTTACCCTTTACATTTTTTGATCAACAGACACATTAGTATATTTACATTATTATTATTAT